TTGCTCTCACCAGCTGAGCCATCCTGCCATCTGTTGGCAGCTCAGCTCGGGCACAGCTCACTGGCCCATGTGGGAATTGAACCGGCAACCCTGTTGCTCAGAGCTCAGCCTCTTAACTAACTGAGCCACTTGGCTGGCTCAAAAACAGTTTAATATTTTAAATATGACCATGTTTTTTAATTTTAAAGCAAAAGAAAAACTGCTTTTAAGAGAAACACTAGCAAAACTGCAACCTATGTAAAAATTTGACCTCCCACAAAGCAACTGCTATTCAAATGAAAACACATTAAACCTACCTAAATATTTCTGCCCTGTTTCTTCAAACCCTCTGGCAAGGATTCCCTTTAGTAGCACATTTCCTTCACTAAAAATGTCTCTATCTTATTTATTTACTCAGACTTTTAGTAAACTTTTTACATTTTGTTTATGAAGGGGTAACAATATATTTTTAAATAATTTTTAAAACTTCTTTGATGGAAGTAAGTACATGAGGTGACAATGAGAATTTGGAAATAAAGAAAATAAGAAATAAGGAAAATAAAGAATAAGAACTTAAATAGAGTTAAACTAACTGAATACATAATGAGAGATTATATTATCTCCTAGGCCCAGGGATAGCTACATGATAGCTTAGTCAATTACATAACATACAAATATCTGTGTGTGTGTGTGTGTGTGTGTGTGTGTGTGTGTGTGTATTTTTGTATGTACTATATTCAACAGAAGGAGATGGCCAGCATACAAAAGTGTGTTTAAAGAGGTAAAATTCAGTAATACCCATTAAGCAATATCGAAACCAGTATAGTGTATGTCCTGGAAACAGCTAACATTCCTATGAAAATGACTGTTCTAGATTATTATAATTTGATGCCATTTAACTTTCAAATAATGTGTCTTTGTTCTGACTCCATGTTCTCCAAGTGACTTTATAATTTGGGTCCCTCCACAGAGATGCCCACAGGGTGACACCAAATTGGTTAGATTAATGCATACATTCTAGGTCCCATGACTGTTAAAAGCATCATCAAAAATAATTCTAATTCTATATTCTGGTTGTACTGTTTCCTAGGATTATGTCAGTGATTCCACCTCTCAAAGATGACCCCTTCTGAGGGTACTGTCAAAGACTAGAGTCAGGGCTGTGGGAGTCAGCAAGTAAACATCCCCTTGTGAACCCTTCTTGGGGAGCACCCTTCTGCCTCATTGTGACTATATGCCTCACTTTAGAACTTCAGAAACCATTAAGATGGTATAGTATGTCAGGGTACATTAATTGTTTACCTTTCTTCTCAGTGGCCTGTCAGATCTGGATGTTCTTTCTGTTGTACCTAAAAGACAACATAACAGGCATAGAGAATTTTATAACG